ATGCGAACCATTAATCCCACGGAATTCATTGGTATCTTCACTTACCGGATCGCAAACAATATCATTTCCAATAATACTATCGCGGATGAGGCTAATCGGTGAACCCGAATCTATCATCGCGTCTATTACATAAATATCTGCCTTACCGCATTTATCGCTAGAGGAAATCTTTACAGTGACCATATACGGTTTCGGTAATACAACAGGCTGTATCAAATTCGTCGACGCAGTTTGCGCAGTCTTCGCTCCAGCTTCCGACGTCGCGGATTGCTTTCGTTCGGAACAATCCCTCGCCAAGTGCTCCGTCGAACCGCATACAAAACAGGTGCGTTTCCCCGTTGATACCGACGCTGTCGAACGCTTGCAGTATTTAGAGATGTCCCGCTTCGCTGCACTTATGGCATCTCACTGTTTTACCTCCTGCCGACGTCGACTCTGTCTTCACACCGGATGATTTCGTGGCTTCTTTCTTCTGTTTATGATCAATGGATTTCCCTGATTGGAGACTAATCTTCTCAAACGATTTCAGCAACTCCGTCCTTGACTGGAAGTTCGTAATGCGCGCCTGGTTCTGCAAGCGCATATCTGTGATGCCATCTATAAGATAGTCAAGGAGCTCGTCTTCTGCGATCGGCACTTGGTTTGCAAGAATAACTTTCTCGTGATAATATTCACTAAATGCTTCATCCGTTTTCCACACACGAGCTTCAAATTCCTTCCGAAGTGCCAATTTGCCGGGCCGCAGATCAAACATCTGTTCCATCTCTTTTAATAAATCCTCGATGCTCAGCGTCAAATATTCCGCCTTCGAGTAAAACCATGCGAGTGCTCGCCCCTTCAATCTAGAGCTCATTAGAATTCTTGTAGAGCTGTCGTCCAGCTGATACGTATTCCTCAGCAACTCTAATTGATTCTTCCATCTTCAGAAAGTATTTCCGGTTGCATCGAACTCTGGCAGAAGATCCTTAATGCCGCGGACACCGCCAGTCATCGATGAGACGCCGCTCGACCTCGAAGCACTTCGCGTTACTTCGCGTTCTCGTCGCAGTAACTGCTGCTCTCTCTGCAGTAGTTCTCTCTCTCTTCGTATTAATTCCAACTCACGTTGTGAATGATTATCAGGCTCCTCTGGTAACAACGATGGAAGTCTTGATTCTCCTTCAGGAACAAGGGTATCATCTTCCGGACTCGTCGACTCGTCCGTTGTTTCCGGTCCAGTATCCGTATTCGACACGCTTCCTGTCAGCGCTCGATTCCGTTTCTCGCCCAGAATCGTCCAAATGTTCGGATCCACGACACTCAATCGTAAGATCAACTCTGCTTTGGCCCCTGAAGTGGACAGTCCTCTCTCACGAAGAGCATCTTTCAACTCATGCACAGTAAAGTCGTTTCCTTCCAAAGGTTTCATGGTGACTCGATGCTCACAGCACCAGCAAGGACGGCGATAACAACAGTGCTCACACACAACAATAACGATCCGCCAGTACTCGGATACGCGTTCACTCACCGCAAATTATCCGTAAATAACTCTCGCAGAGTATACAGTACTCGTCGTCTATTGCCAATTATCGCGTTCGTGTCCTCTCTTTTATGCACGGCAAGAATTTTATTTCGCACGACACTCGTGAATAATTCTCCGCGCAACTAATCTCTTTTCTTCACCAGAAAATATCGCGAGGATCGTTTGTATCAATCCCACTTCTGAAAAACTGTAGTCGGGCGTTCACAGTTGTCTTCGCTATTTGAGACGTAACAAGACTGACTCGCCGAACTCGCGTCCGACTCGCGTTCCCTCGGCCTGCTCTCTCCGCGCGGAGTGACATCGGGTAACTGCCAATAATACGCGATCACGCGATTTAGGGTGGCCAATCAATGCGAAGGGAAATCCGCAACCGTTTTCAGAATTCGGGGAATCTTCCGTTCGCGTCTAACTACGCTCCTCTTTCTCGCCAAGAGGCAAACGAACAGGCGCGATCCTACAAGCCGAGGATTTTACATTTGATTCGCGGAAATATGCCTACAAAAGGTTACATTTTTGAGGATACACTTGATATACGTTCACTTTGAACTAGCACCTTTAATAATATATCAGTTACTTGTCATGGTAATGTATTATCAGATAATCACTTAAATTTTTAATGGTTTACATTTTTGAGATATGTATATAGTGAAACAATATATTATCAGATAAAAGTTTAATTTTTAAAGGTTTACATTTTTGAGATATGTATATAGTGAAACAATATATTATCAGATAAAAGTTTAATTTTTAAAGGTTTACATTTTTGAGATATGTATATAGTGAAACAATATATTATCAGATAAAAGTTTAATTTTTAAAGGTTTACATTTTTGAAGATCTGCTTACATTTTTGAACATGGCCTGACCTTTTCATTGTAATGATAGTTTTGGGCTATATTTATTTTACCTAAAATGACTCTTAAATTCCACATCTGAATATTTATTAACTCTGTGTCCATATAGTTTTTAACATGAGGTCAAACTGCTTGAATTGGTGATCCCATAATTAGTTCATCTTCTTCGAAAAAACTATCGCTACTGTTTTCGTTCAAAATTTATTCACAATTTAGTACGTTTATCCATGTCTGTATACACTACCAGTTTACTGCAAAGTTGTTCCGAAATACGGCGTAATAGTGCTGGCAGTACTACAGTAATTTTGGAACGGCTGCAGCAGTACACTGTTGTGACGTCATGATGGTTGCACTGCCAGTAAAAAGGGAACATACCCAAAGACATGTCGATGCCCTGGAAAAACTGCGACCTCTGGTGACTTCATCGGAGTTCGAGCTTCGCTCGAGTAGGATGCCGTCCCATTAAGCACGGATCAGAATGACGGATCAGATTTCTCACTCGAATTGGGCATTCCGTTCCAGTTCCGTTCCGTAACAGTTTTCTCTACTTGTCCCATTTAGTAAAAACGGAACGGAATGTTGCGTCGATCGTAGGTAAATGTGCTTGATTCATCAATATTTCGTTATTTTGAAGTAATAATATACATATAATTTATGCAATTATCTTGCCGTTAACATTGTTGTAAGTTCTCTAAAATACTAAAGCGGGATCTACAATAGAAGTCGTAGGAGTCGTAGAGCCTTAAGTCGTAGAAAATTAACCAATCACAGTAGAATATGAGAAGAATAATCGACTATGATTGGTCAATTTTCTACGACTTAAGACCCTACAACTGCTACGACTTCTATTGTAGATCCCGCTTTAGTATTTACCCCGCAAAAATTGTAACGGTGAAATATATTTTATAACCAAATTTCGTTCCGTTTTTACTGAATGGATAGAGAAAACTGTTATGAAACGGAACTGGGAGTCAATCATGTAACTTTTCCCTTAGGGCGGAAACGTGAAAAGTGAAAAGTTTCACGTGAACTCTATGATCATCTATGATTTCGGGGGATCATGTAACTTTCCCAACTGTGAAATGTGAAATTGTTCACGTGAACTTTTTAGCCAAAGACCGTGGTGGCGGAAAGACGGAAATCTAGGGAATTGATAAATACATATACTTCGTAACATGTCTTATCCTTCGACAATTTATTTCAAGGCAGATGCCATTAATAACTGAAGAAATAATATCGCATTGACGGAAGAGAGGTTATATATGTGAAACTATTGTAATAATATATATTACAAAAAAAACTATTATTACGTACATACATACATACATACATACATACATACATACAAATAATAGTTTTTGTGAAATATATTACACTACTCAACAAAATTAAATCACTTGTTTCACCCTGCAAAAATAGGCAAATTTCGAGATAGTATAACTTCGTCAAAAATCATCCTATCGAGATTTCTAAAAAAGCATTTTAAAGCTTGAAATCTCTACTTTCCAAATTTGTACTTTCAAAAACCGTATTACTCATGTTTCATAAAGTTACACAAACATAACTGAAGATGCATGAAATCTTAAAATTTTTTACGAAATTTGCGATGTTCCACAGAGTCAGATAAAAATTGTGCACAAATACGGTTTACGGCTTTCGAAAGAGTGAATATTTACCTTTAATTTGCTTTTTTGTTGGGCTCTGTACGATTATTTTTCACCGAGTTATTCAACGTTGAATCAAAAACGACCCTTTTTGCCTTGACGTTGAATAACTCGGTGAAAAAAAATCCTACGAAGCTTCATAAAAAACGAAATTGAAGATAAAGATTCATTCTTTCGAAAGATGTAAACCGTATTTGTGCACAATTTTTACTTGGCTCCGTTGAACTTCGCAAATTTCGTAAAAAATTTTGAGATCTGATGCATCTTCATTTATATTTGTGTAACTTTATGAAATATGAGAAATACGGTTTTTTGAAGTACAGGTTTGAAAAGTAGAGATTTCAAGCTTTAAAATGCTTTTTTAAAAATCTCGATAGGATGAGTTTTGACGAAGTTATACTATCTCGAAATTTGCCTATTTTTGCAGGGTGAAACAAGTGATCCTTTAATTTTGTTGAGTAGTGTATTATAATATATTATTATTTTTGTTTCACAGTCACGTTCATTATTATTTTTATTTCTGTTATTATGGGTTCTATTATTATAGGTTATAGATTATATGGATTGCTCAGTCGTCCATTCAATATCGCATATGTAATCGTTATATGAAAAGTTTCACGTGAGACCTCGATGAGTGAAAAATGAAAAGTGAAAAGTGAAAAATAAAATGTGGAACGTTTCACGTGAAAATACATGATTGACCCCCTGGAACGGAATGCTCAATTCATGTATCCACAAATAAGGATCAATCGCTCGATGAGTAGACTGCATTCCGAAACCCATCGAAAAAGTGCTGCAACTTTTTAGTAACTGACTGTACAAAATAAAAAAAAACACATGATATATTTACTTCAATAATTTTTTATCATATAAGAGTGCCGCTAATGCTACAGAATATTACAATAAAAAGTTTTATAATACTAGTTAGCAATTTTTTAAACACAAATGTAAATTACAATATTAAAAGCATACTTTAAAAAGTTTTAAAGTATAGTTATCCTCATTATTTTTTGGGTATTGGTGCAGTAAGGGCATCAATTATCATCTTTTTTCTTACTGTTTTTTCGGGTTCTGAAATATTTTCTAAATGTACGCGAATATAATTAGCGAATGACTGATCAATTGTTTTTATACTATCTGTAGTATTTTTCTTCGTACTTTTGAGAAAATTCAGAATTGTTTTACTGATATTCGTCAATGTATCATCAATACTTTTTGATTCTTCAATTTTACGTCTTTTAAACCTTAAGCCATTTATTTGTTTAGTACGGTTATTATCTCGATCATATACTTGCTCAAGATTCTCCATGTCTCGAGACGTATTTTGACACATACTAATAATTCTTTTCTGAGGCACTTTGACATTTTGCTGTTCATACTCCGATTCGCTAGTAGATTCATTATTATTATCTTCATGTGTTACTACTTCTGTATCTTTTATAGACTGAAGTGCGTTCCTGTTTCGTTCAACGTTGAAAAAAGTTCTAAAAAAGTAACAAAACATTTCTCAATAAAAAAAAAATCTTAATTAAAACAACATGATTTTAAATTTATAATATAATATCTCTTACCTTCTCCTTTTAATAAAATTGTCAAGAAAAGATAGTTGAGTAAAAAATGGAAATGTTCTTCGTTTTGAACAAGTACTGCCACTTTTGGAATTATTTCTAATATTTCTTTTTTCACGACTATATTGATCTCTTAAAGAAGTACATCTTGTTTGACAATATTTAGGTGTGTAGCGCTTACCTATGAAAAAATAAAAATTGTAATAAATATTAATTTAGTTATTCGTAAAATCTAAACATACACTAATATATATCATATTACTCCATAGCAAAAAATGTCACAGTTAACAATAATTATGATTACGTCATGGTGACGTGCGAATGTTCGCTTTATCACAATGTGATGTCACAGCAATGTCATGGTAATATGCGAATATCTTTGTAACATGTGTTATTTTATTATGACAATCTCACAGTGACATCATACAATATTTTCTTCCTGACTATAGTGATTCAATAATTGTGACGTGAATGTGACCCTTTGCTATACGGAGCCCTGGTAGCAAGCTGATGTCAAAATGACGACAAAATGACGTAGCTTGTTATCAGAGGGGTTATTATTATAACAATGCGAAAGTATTAACCTAGGTTTCTTTGTTGCATAATAGTAGAAATTTCAAACCACGCATTTTCTTTTATCTGTTTATTCTGAAAATTTTTGTGACTTTTATCATATAAGTATCTTCGTTCCTTATATAATTGTATAAGAAAATCGTCACTCTCTTTTCCTTCAATAACACTTTCAGGTAAAGATTTCACACAATCAACATATGTAAATGAATTTAAAGTTGTATAAGGATGATCTTCCATTTTACAATTAACTTCTAATATCACTGAAAGCATGTAGAAAAAAATATTTTTATTAAATAAATGTTTTTACAATCACAAACAATATTTCAAATAGCATTTTTTAATCAGTAGAAAAACATTAAGTAAACGTATCGTGAAAATGTGAAATAAATTTGAAGTAACTTATTATTTTACAACAAAATTATATATATATATATATATATATATACAGGGTGTCAATTATGTACCGGGACGGTCA